TCCTGGCCCCATATAACTTGTGACTTGGGAGTCTGATAGAACCCAGCTCCTAATGGGCAGTTCCAGATATATGCTCAAATAGTGTCCCCAGAGGCCTGCATAGTGATTCGTTCACTGGGGCTTACCAACAACTCCATACTCCACCTTTTCCCACCACTAACAACTTCAATAGCATAAACTTGGCTACATTTTATGGCCCAAATGTAGAGCTGTAGAGCTGCCTGCCGCAGAGTGTTTTTCTACTCTAAGCCCCACTCATATGAACTGACTTCCATGTTTCCAGTGTACGGGTCAGAGTAGTATTCCTAAGAGTGGGATATGTTGCCTCTCTAACCCTTCTTTGTGACAGAAGATGCAACAACTTCTCTTTTGCTTTGGAAGGGCTACCCCAGCATGCTTCTGAGCATAGGACACATACACTTTTAAATGAACTGGCAGGTTCCTAAATCTTTGTAGGATTTTCTTTCCATTCCCTAAAGTGCATGTGTCTTAACATTACCTCCTACATACTAGCCACCTCTTGCTTGTACTAGCTAATGGGAACTATGACATCAGTGCAAAAGATCCATGTCATGTCTGGGAGGATGTCCACACGGTTTGGAACTCTTCAGCATATCTCATGACAGGGGCAGAAGAGTTAACATAGTCCAAGAAAAAACTGTAAATATCTAATATTACCCATTCCCCTTGAATGCAAACTCATTCTGATCAAAATAGAAAAGAATGCATTTGTCAAATGACTGACTGCAAAAGGGATATCTAGATCCTTATTAATCTGTTCTAGCAATGAGAACATGTGTGCTAAAGCAGGTGTTGACAATGAACACACTATCCTGTTCATAGCTAGCACTGAGTTTATGTTTATGTGGATGGAATATATGGCAATGGATGTTGGTGATATTTACACGACATGATTGGTGGTTTCACTGAATTGTACAAGTGAAAACTTTGACTTAGCTAACGCGTTACCCATATTTTTACAACAATAAAAACAATTTTTTTAAAAAGTTAACATTATCAATAATGATACATTTTATCAACTAAGAAAATCACAATATCACTTCTTTGATATTCTTACCAAAATGGAGAATATGAAATTAGTCGTGAGGAAACTTCAGACAAATGCCGTCTAAGAGACTTTCTACAAAAATAATCTAAGCGAATTATTTAGAAGAGTCAATGTCAGGCAAGACAAAGGAAGACTGACAAACTAAATCAAATGGGATGAGACTAAAGAGACCTAACCTCTAAATACATGTGACGTTGGATTGCCTTGGGATCCAAATTTTAGTGGTCACCAAGGGTAGGAGGGAGGGGGTGAGAGGGAGTTGTAGCTTAGGGGGCGCTGAGCTTTTGTTAATGGCGATGGAAATATTCAGAAGCAGGTAGTGGTCATGGTTGCACAACATGATGAATGTAATTGATGCCACTGAATTCACTGCAAAAATGTCACTGTAAAAAGACTGAAATGGCAAATGTTTTGTTTTATATATATATAAAAGAAACAGAAAAAAAACCCCTTGTTGTTGAGTCAACTCCAACTCATATCGACCCTATAAGACAGAGTAAAACTACCCCAGAGGGTTTCCAAGGAGTGGCTCAACTGCCAACCTTTTGTTTAGCAGCGAGCCCTTAACCACTGCAGGAACAAGGCTCCTTTATACATATACTTACCAAATAAAAAAAAATGAAAAAGAAATTTTAAAGGCTATTATTGGGATAATTGGTGATATTTAATAAGGTTTGTATATTAATTACTGGTATTATATCAACATTCTGATTTTGATGATGGTACTGTGTTTATGTAAGAAGCTGGGTGAAGGGTTTACAGAAAGTCTG